TTACTTGGAGAAGAAGAAAAGGCAAGAGCTAGAGAAGAGAGAAGGAGGCTGCATGAATTATGATATCTCTCATAATCCCTAGAGATGTGATGTATTTATACGCTACAAAAAGGACTCTAAGAGGTATTAAATTGGGTTTCTCCTATTAGGATTAAACTATAGGCCAAGCCTACCAAACCCAAATAAGAATAATACATCCATTCCACTAAAGTAGTATTATTGAATAAACCTCAATTTAATTCTCAAATTATATTCGAGGCTCCAATAATAATTACTCGATTTATCTCCCCGTGTTTAAGATATAATGTCCATCAATTAATTTAATTACTGACAATTAAATTAATCGACATCTATAACCGAGACTAGTACCACTCATCACATTATTATTATGTCGGAATGAATTCCACTGGCCAGATTTAACATAACAATCCTTCATGAGCTCATATCGGGGACATCATCAAACTATCGCACACGGTGACCGTAAATATTCTAACAGCACATCGTACATACAATAATATTACCCAAAACAGTAAGTATTCTCAAGTCAATTAAAGTAATATTTACTACATGCACATGCCTGGTTATATCTTACGGGTTAAAAGTACGCAGTAACCAACCCAGGCCTAGTTCGTTTACGACGATTAATATAAAACGAACTTCTCCTCTCTGGGATCCGTTCAATACACAAAGTGTACTAGTGTAACTAATCAGTCAATACAAATTGTACGATTAACACTACAACCGTTCACGATGGGTTGTTAATTTCCATCTAGGTTGTGAACCTACTATTCTTGACTGATAATTTGATCTCCTGTTCACCCGCTAATGAACCATTTTATCTAAGTGCAAAACAACAGAACATATATAGACTTGTTTAATTAAACATGATTCTAATTCAAACGGGTTCAATGTAAATACATCTAAAGCCAAACTTTTAGTATATACACCAACAATTAGTACTGCTCAATTATTTATTATTATGTCGGAATTCAATCCACCAACCAAGCTTGCCATAATAATTCTTCTTGAGCTCATCTCAGGGACGTTATCAACCTGTCACACCAGAATATAGTGAACGTCCGTAACTAATTTTAACGGCACATCATGTGATCAGAATTATTTACGAACAAACCGAGTCTATCGATTTAAAATAAATATCACTATGTGGTGAATAAAATAAATAATAACCGAATACATATACCTGTTTATTATCTTACGGGTTAAGAGAAATGAACAAGAGGTCTAGATTGTTTATTTGGCCAATATAAAATAATCTTATCCTCCGTGGTCTATTTAATACATTACAAATATACTAGTGTAATTCATTAGTCAAAGATCAACTAATTCGAAAATACACTCTATTCACGACAATTAGTTCAATTTGGTTAAGCTTGTGAACCAATAATTTATATTTTAGAAGGCACTGATAATATGTTCTTTCCTTTCGACACATAGAACTATATTATCTACAATGTAAAATAAAGAAATCATATTCACGTAAATAAATAAACTGCCAACATACAACTTTTTATTTATTTTTTTTAAGACAAGCAAAGAAATGCGGTGAAATTGTTTTATTTATTTTTGTGTTTATTTTTATGTGTTTTATGTGCTTAGTCGAGTCTTTTGTAGGTTCGTTATAGTATTAACCGAGCCATTTTGTCGTTTTTCCTACATTTTTACCTTCGTCATGTGTTTTTCTATTTTGCCGTACTTTTTTGCTCTTTTGATGTTATTTAGGTCCTTGATTCAAAAGTTAGGGACGACGATCCGTTCGAGCCATTGTCGAGACATTTGTTGCACTCGCCGCAAGACGCTGAGTCAGCACGCAAGACACCCAGCGAGAGTTCCCATTCGCGATAGTACAAGACGCCGAGGCAGCACGCGATACACTCACTGAGAGCGCCCACCCGCGAAACCGCAAAGCATCCGCGCACAACATGCACACTCACTACGAGCTTCGCTCCGCGAGGTAGCGAGTTCGCTCCCTAGGCATCCTAAGCACCTCTTGTCCACACTCGTTGTGAACCGTGGTTGGCTAGGTCGCTCGTTCGGCTTAGTAAATGTGTATATAACCAATGTGTGTACTCCTTGTTGGTATATGTGTCCTAGAGACAGTCTTTTTGAGGACATATATACATGATCACATTAATAATTATATTGGATTATAACTATGGTATTGCAATTAATTAAATAATTGTTTGATTGTTTGCAATTTATTAATTAATTGATCCTTTGAGTTAATACTGTCATTAACAGAGTGAGATGTTAATTGATAAAGTATAACTCTCAAATCGCCTCAATCTATGATCATTAAGAAAGGGATATTAATGGTACGCGATAGATTGACATGTGGTCTGCATCACATTCTTGGAGAATATAGTATGTCTCACTGCTATGAATAATTGTTATTCGTGATGGACACATGGGTACTTTGGAAAGTATTGGTATACCCTACCGATAAACCATTTGTTTATGTGTCTATGGAGTATCGATGTGTGGAATGGTGTAATAGTCCTTTGACTTGAGGTCTATACGCAATTCATGTATAGAGTGATTTACTTAGACCTAGTCCAAAGCTTACGCCCTTATGGGTAGATACGGGCTAGTGTTGGGTTGATCACGATATACATGGAATTGGTATTTGAGCCAAGATAGGATTCATTCCTCGAATATAGTTTCGAGAGAACACTCGTTTTCTCTATACTGGGTTGATAAAGTCATTGGCCAATGCACGTGATTATATTTGAAATAGTGTTCAAATATAATTGATAAAATCAACCAGTGAGATGAGATAAAATGATTAAGCTGTTTGGATAAACACACGTTCAAATCCTAAGCTTAATCGAGTGGTTCGTGAGTGAAGGGACCGTATCACTATTGAGTTCTACACGAAAGGTTTGTTTGCTTGTCCATGTAAACGTACTTAATATTTTGAGTTCGTCCTTCGACGCAGTCTACAAATTCCGTAAGGATCATAAATTAGATTTATGTCAATATATGAAAGTCTATAGGGTCACACAATATGCAATCAATTTTTCCAGCTAAGAGTGAATCGAGAATGTTAAATATTCAATTAGATTGAAATATTTACTTATATGTAATGAGATTATTTTCTATTTGATAGAAAATAATTAATTAAGTTAAATTAAATTTATACTTAATTAACTTATTAATTAAATTAAGTTCAATTACCTATTGAGCTATAGAATTTCCTAAAGCCCATATGATTAGGTTTGACCTAATTATAAATATCTCATTATCTCATTCATATTAATCAATCGATGGATCGATGAATGAAAGAAACACTTTGAGTGATCAAAATCAAAACACTCTCTAACTTTTCGGATCGAGGATTCCTAACTTCTTCACCGGAAGTGATTCATTGACGTTAGATCGTGCACCGAAAAACTAGATTGCGTGGATACCATAGTCGAGGACCAGGGCCGGCCCTGACATTTTTGGGGCCCATGGAGAAAATTCGGTAAGGGACCCTTTCTCCAACACATACATTTAATTAAAGTGAAAAATAATAATAGACAAACACATAAAAAAAGAGTCTGGGAATCAAACAATGAAAATAAAACACCAAAATTATAAAATATAATCGAGAAATATAACCTGATTTATGCCTTGAATAATGATCTTCAAACCCAAAAAACCCTAATAATTGTAGTAGGTCTCTCGGTTGGGTGTTTCACTTTCGCGAATAAATAGAAGAATCAATTGAAGACTGAAAAGAAAGGCTTAATCGTCGAAGTCGTTGCTTCAAATTGTTTATCGCTACACTCAAAAAATTTTCCGCCCGTTAGAAAGTACAACTTGGAAATAGACGTAAGGAAAAAGAAAAGCAAAGCACGGTGCTATAAAGATGGAGAGGAGTATAGTGCACAATGGTGTTTACGAGACGGAAATTATATTACTCTTCATTCCTAAGTATCCTTGTTGTCATCTTAACCTACCACCTTTATACTTTTTTTTTTCTTTACCTACCATCTTTATCTGAGCGTGGGAAGTTGTGTGGAAATGTTAGATGAGAAATATTGATAGAAGCATTATTTTGATATTCTCTCCACTTGCCTTTCCCGTTCTTCCAATTCCAAAAGAAAAAGTGACTTTGATTTTTTTTTTTATTGCTTATGATTATTTCCTTATATGTGTTTGGACTTGGGCCAATAAAAGCTAATTTTTTTGTGCGCTTTTTAATTGATAGAAAAATTCACTAACAAAAATCCATACAGATATATATTATATATAATGTATATATAAGTTTGGGGCCCCAAATATTTGTGGGTCCATGACCAATGCCCACTTTAACATTAGTCAGGGCTGGCCCTGTCGAGGACAAAAGACGAATAATGATAAGTTTTCGTGTATTATTCACGCGATCTAAGATCATATCGAATAGCTATAGTCGGATCTTCGTTGTTGGTAAGAAAAATTTTAAAATTCTGCAGCGCGTGCGCTAGGTTCGTACGTCGAAAATCCAACACTCTTTGAGGTATAAATATATTTAGTCATTTGTTTTGGGAGCACCTAGACTTCATTTCTCACTTTTTCATTTTGGAAAAAAAAAAATCAGAAAAAAAAAGATAGGTACCAAACTATTTTTCTTAGAAAAAAAACATAGAACGTAGCATGCGTACCTTGTGCATTCCATGTAGATCTAAAATACAAGGCTTTAGATCTATAAGAAATTCAAGACATATACACTATGTATTATTTTTGTCCCTTATTTCATTTATTTTATTCTTTACATAATAACCACACATTACTATTTTTCCATCATCATAAAGTCCAAGTAAGCAGTCACTAGTTGATAATTAAAATGAAAGTAAAAAAAATAAATAAAAAAAATTAAGTGAATCCTAGCACACAAAAAGATGAAATCAGCAACAACTAAAAATAAACCACATCCTATTGTTTTCCAATTATTGCACAAACAGACATAATACAAAACCCAGACGAACAAAAATAAAATGAAGCTGGGCTCTCCCTAGCTACTTACGGGGGCGCGTGTCCTCGGGCTGCGCCACGCCCGTCGAGACCTTGGCCACGTCAAGGGCAGTGGCCTCAGGCTTCTTCTTCACATAAATAGTGAAGTACCACAAGGCCCCAATGACGGCGGAGCCCATTAATGCCATGGTTGCGAGCCTGTAAGGCATCTGGCGGCGCTGGTGGAGGACACCGCCAGGGCCACTGCCCGGTGGCCGTTTGGATGCCTCCACCCCGGCCCTCTTTACCTCCTCAGGGCTCATCTTGTGCGTGTCCGCGTTTTTTCTCCACTCCTCGCTTCCTGCCATCTATTGCATGAAATCGGAGTTTCTGCTTTGACTTCTATTTTCTTCAATTCACTTGATTGTGTTGAAGGTTATGGTGGGCGGGCGGAGTTTTGATGAGTGAGAAATAGGGTTTGCCACGAGGTGCTTAAACACCTACGTGTCGTTTTCTAAGGCTACTCGTCTACGTGGAACTATGATTTTGGGACAACACATGGGTAACAATATTTGTTTTTAATTAAAACCGTCCCAAGCATTTTCGGAGCGCACCGTTAACCATACTAGTTTTTGTCCCGTGCATTTGCACGGAAAACTATATAATAAATGAAAAAATAATAAAAATTATAAACAATAGTAAAAATCATAACAAATTCATTGAAAAAAATTAAGAAAAAAAATATAAATATTCTTAAACACTTCTTTATAAAACAATGTCGTAGTTTTTCTATCGTCAAAATCTCCCTCAGCTCAAATCAAAATCTTGAAACCTCACTGACCCGTAATTCTAAAAAGCGCCACGTATAGTTGCTCATGACTAAATGCAGAGCTCTTCAGTAGTAAGCCGACGTTCGACAGAGACTGTCTTTGACTCTTATTGATCATGTCATAGCATAGGAAACACTTTTTTATATTGTTTGTCCTCGACTCTTATTGATTGATAGAGATTTTCCTTGCTTCTTAATAAAAAAATACCATCTAAATATAAATGAGTAAATATAATATTAATTTTTTATAGAAACAAAAAATTTAAAGTAATTGATAATGAGTATAGAATTACCCTTGCGGATTCAAGTTATTTCAACGATGTCCTTTTTATATATATAAGATTTAATTTTTTTCTGATTTATATGAATATAAGCACATTTGACTAATTTTTATAAATTTTATTGAAAAAAGTTACTATTTTTTTGAAAAACTGATAAGATATTAAGATAATACTGTACTTAACATAAATGTGAGATTAATTAAAATAAATCTTTTTAATTTAGTCATTAATTAATTAAATTTAACTATAAAAAACCTTCTTAAATGTGAGATTAATGAGTAATTAATTAAAAAAATGTAATTCCTTTTGGAGGAAAAGTGAAAACATTTTTATTAAATGTTTTATTAAATGAGATTAGCTAGCAATTATATATATATAGATTTATGTATCAACAATAATTTATTTTTGTAACAAAAAAAAAATAATAATTTATTTAAAACTGACAAATTCATTCTCAAACCTAAAAAATATTTTTGAAATATATGTCAACTTTTATTACTTTTCAATACTATTCATGTATTTTACAATGTGACAAATTATAAACCATATCATTATTTTAAATTCGATTTAGACATTATGTAATAAAATTAATTATAAAGTTATGGTCATACACATAATTCATTAAAAATTAAAAATTACAACACATAAGATCAAATTAAAAATATAACTCACGAGATGATAAATTAAAAATTACAACATACAAGTAAAAATAGATAGTCTTTCAAGTCTCAGAATTGGTAAATTACTCCAACAAATGATCAATTAGTGCATTCCGAAGTGCAATGAGATCATCTTTATTTCAATTTTTTTTTTTTTTTTGAGATATGAATTTTTGAAATCGAGTATGTAGACATCGAAATTTTAATATTTTATTAATTAATGTCTTTATTTATTTTGGGACATAAATCAAAGATAAATAAGATATTTAATTAATAAAGTAAATATTTCTTGCCCACCAAGTCAAATATTAGGATAAGAAAGGAGATTATATCAAATCTTAGGATAAGGAAAGAAATTATATCAAATCTTAGGATAAGGAAGGAGATTATATCAAATCAAGAAGGATCAATCAAATTGATGTCTTATTCTCCAAGACTCTCTCTCCTACACCTATAAATAGGGCTCTCCTCAAAGTCACAAATCATACCTAAGACACCTCAAAAATCAAACACACCACATCCATCAAAATCTCAAGTTCAAGAACTCTCAATAATTCTCTTGAAGATCAAAAGTTTTATTTTTTTCATAAAATTTGTTGTTACAGAGTACTTTCATCAATTGTCATTTCATCATCCGACGGCGGCGTTTCCATCTCGTTTCAATTGGTGTACTTAAACTACGTTCATCTTCGACAATGTAGAAAAGAATGTAGTTCATCCACGTTTTCTTTCACTCTTTAGCTAGTCAATAAAAATAATAGAAAGAATTATTCTTACCAATTCTAAATTATTTAAATAATTTTCTTACTACATATTATAAAATTTTCATATTTGGTAAGTAGATAATATTGTAGTTAAACTATATTGTGCATTAGAAATAATTTTTTAATTTCATAGTTATAAAATTAACATTTTTTCCTACATAGTTCACAATCTATTTAATTTTTCGACATTTGTTAAAATTTATTGTATAACAACATTATAACATTGGAGATGCTCTGAGTGCGTAAGAAATACACATAAATTGATGATTCAAAGGAATGTGCGATACACACGTAACCAATCTTTCATTTTTTTTTCTTTTATTGTATATTTTATTTTAGAGGTTTAGAATTGAAATTCCGATTTGAATTTTCAAACCTCAAAGTTGATCATTTTAATGGAAAACCTACATGTTTAAAATTACAAACATGTTTTATTTAAGAGTGTTAATATTCACCGCACCCACTTTTACTATTTACCGCACCCTTAAAATACTATTTTGCCCTTATTAAAAAATAATAATAAAAAATTCAATTTTTAAATTTTTTTTTAAATGTGGCCAAAAAATATGTTACCTTATAAATTGATAAATGTGGCCAATTTTATATGAATGTGTTATAACACAAAATTCGAAAAAAAAATCATAAAATTCGAACAAAATTAAAAAAAAAAAAAAAA